CACACTGATAACTCTTTTGATTTCAGTTGGGCAATCACACACTGATAACTCTTTTGATTTCGGCTGGACAATCATACACTGATAACTCTCACAAAACAGATAAAAATTTTGCGAACAAATTTCATAATCCACGGAAATGAACAACCAATCGGTGTGAAATATTCATCTTTAATTATTTTTTTTATAAAATCCGTTAAAAATTGATGTAAACAAAAAGAATGAGAGAGAAAAAAATAGGATAACTTTTAGTCTTCAGAAATCCCAACTTAATTATTATCCCTTCTCCTTTTCTTCTTCTTCTTCTCTCTCTCTCTCTCTTTCTTTGTATTAACATGAAAATCATGCAATTTTAAAGAGCCTTAAATTTATGGATATTTACAAGAAAGACTCCTGATATCCTAAACAAACGATAACCAATTATTTAAATAAGGGAGAAAGAAGAAAAGAGAGAGAGAGAGAGAGAGAGTAGACTTCCGAATCAATTTATTGCTTCACTATGAATGATTGTTTCATCTCAAATGTTAAAATTATATCTATACAACAGATCTGTGTGAAGTTAACAAAGTTTCCTTTTCGGACTAAAACTGATGGATCATATAAGAAGTAAATAAGTAAGTAAAAATTGCCCATGAAATTACTAATTCTAAAAATATCCTGAATTTGATATATTTCCTCTCTCATTTTCTTTTATTCTACTTATCATTTCCTAGAATAGCTCAGTTATTTCAGTAAAATATTATCGCCTAATGAATGAAACTTTTTGGTGAAATTATTTCATTTAACTGATCCGATAATTATACAATCAATAATATAAAATATAAAATGTTTGACCTAAGCTAAAAAATATATAATATTATTAGCTTATATATAATTATCGGAAAAAAAGGAATCCAATCGTTCTTCTACACTAGTAATTCCCAATCATGGATATCTATCTCTCTTGTAATCTATAATGGCTAATAATTATATTGCTTCCTTTTTATATTATAATGTTATTTTACCTTTAACTAATATATTAAAAGTTCTGATTATTGTTTATTTTCAAATTAACATAATCATTGTTGAATCATGTAATTCCTGCTACAAATAAAAAAAAATCAATGTGGTCTTTGATCAAGAAAACTTTGGGAACACCAGTGTCAACATACGTCATAACGCAAATGTCACCACAATAAGATTTTAAAATGGGATTATCATATCATTTTGCTTTTTCCTATCTAGATAATCATGTGATTGGAAATTCGAGAATTTTTAAGTGTTATTTTGATGCCATATGTAAAAGTATTATAACTGAACTGATTGCTTTCATTTTCGAAATATTTCCACTTTAAACATTAATATAAATTATACTTGAAGAATCACAATTTAATATAACGATGAAATCCCGAAGTTAGAGGTTGACGAACTAAGGCTCATCTCTAAAAAAAAAAAAAAAAA